TTAAAATTAGGTGGACAAACTTCTACGCTAATTGTAACCACTAATTTCTTCCACTAATTGCGAGTTTCTGAATGAAGCTTAATACCTTGTAAGTAATTATATATTGAGAAATTATGGTTACTCTAGTTGAATTTGACACTTTATATCAGTTTAATAATATATTTTCTTACTTTTATGCTTAGGCGTAAAAAGCTTTACTTTTATGTCTAGGCGTTAAAATGACGTTTTTATATTGCCAATCACATTGCAAAAATTAATACTTTTGTGACGTTTGAAAAAAAAAATATTTTGGTTTCATAATTCACCATTGTCTCCATACTTTGAAAAAGTATACACCAAAAATGTCAACATAATTTATGAGTATATATTTTAACATACAAAAAACAAATGTGTGCTTTATATTATTAAAATATAAAGAGAAAAGTAACAGACAAATCAATAAATTTTTTACATGTCTCGACAAATTCCGTACATTTTTTATTGCGCCTTCCTACTGAGATACATCCCGAAATATCACTTCCACTTTCCGTTGCCTGATTTATTCAGAACATTCACATTTATTCCGGCCACTAAATGTATTCTCTGCCTCTCTGAAAAACTCCAGAGAGCCACTTCTTTATTTCTAGGCCACCCGAGTGGGAGTTTTATCATACTTTCGCGGTTCTTCTCCGTATCCAAACTTCTCCAGACGAAACTTTTAACCTACAATCAAATCTTTTCAGGATGCTTTTTGGGTCTGTGCGGGAAGCAAATCCTCACAATCGGATTGTACGGAAGTTTTAATAATAAGGAAAAAGTGTAGATATTTTGCAAGTTTTAAAAATTATCCGAGCATGAATTTTCATCTAATTTGTTCTGAGAATCTTCCATCTGTTTAGTATAACATTTCTGCAGAATTTTATTGCTGTAGGTGTATTATTTATTCTAGAACAGATGATATTATATGTTATCTGTTTCTGGGGTCTATAGTCTGTCCAACGAGAAGATCCTTGACAGTGATAGATGTGTCTGTCATTTTAATTTCAAAGTAGTTTATTTTATTTTACAAAGAAATAAGTTGGTACAACTGGAACGCATAGCAGGAAATATTTAAAATTTGATTGACAAGATGACAAGTGATTACTTCAAAATATTGTGAAAAAAACTGTATAAAACTGAAAAAATGTAATCGAGTTATTTTATTTAATAAAACGGTATGTGTTAATACAAACAAACAAGAACAAGACACTACATACCAAAAAATATAAAAAAGAACTATTATTTACTTTCAAGCTTTATGAAACTACCCGCATTTATGATTATATTTATCAATATAACTTATGTACAAATACAAATTTGTAATATTCCGCAGGAATAAATAAAACAACATAGGTAAATAAAACAAATTATTTTATTAAAAATAACTCCTACCAAATTTTATACCTTAAAGGTTGATTAATTAACTTTAATCTTAATTTTTTTAAACCAGTACCTTTTGACATTATTTTTCTGCAGTACTAAAATCCATTATTTGCCTATCGTGTGATGTCGATATTTTACAGCTACTCCAGTTTTTAGTATGTGTTTAGTTTGATCCTTCTACCTTACACGAGATGCACTTATCTACGACGAAATGGTATACAAACTTTATCGATGGCAACTTCATTGGTTTAAGACTTCCTGCCTGGGCAGCGAGTATTAACCATAAACTGTGCTCTGGGTCTACAGTTAATTTCACTGATTTTTCCTCCACTTGACTTTAAAAGACACAAAACACACGTAATAATACGAATCAAAATACATCATCTTCCAAAACGCAGGGTATTCAACAAAAGTTGACACAAAATTATAACCTATAATTTGGCAAGACTTTGACAAGCGTCAAAAATGACAAAAATCTAAAGGCGGGTTCATACGCATCGGCGTCCGTTTGTCGTTCATCGTTCCGTCAAACCAATAAAATTGAAATACGATCTGTCATTTTTTAAATAAACCAATAAAACTGGTTAAAAACAACAAGACACGACGCATGACGGATTTATATTCATATATATATAATAACCCATCCATAGATAGCTTAAAAATAATTAGAAACTTTTTTTAGTAAAATAAATAGATTGGTATGGGACGTCATCTGCTTTTCTTCTGTCATCGTCTGTCGAAATCTTACCTGAGAAAAAAAACAGAGTATATATATACTTCCACTAAAAATATTTGCACTTATTTAAGACTAACCCTGTATAAGCTAATTAGAACGCAGTAATTTTCAATTAGTAGAAAAAGTTAATAAGCTTTTAACTTTTTCACGAATTATAATTCCAAATTTGCATGTAACGTCATTTTGACTTTTGATTATCATCCCACAAGATAAATTATTGTTATAATCAAAATTTTATTGTTTTATAGTCTAATTATTGGGCCTACTCTGTTGATACAACTGGCTACCCTAAACTGGCTACCCTAAACTTTTAATATTCTAGTATTTTTTTTGTATTTTACTAAGAGTGAGTCCCAGGTGGGACCCTCCACTGAGACCGCGAGGGCCTATTGTGGCTCAGTTTCTACAAGCTCTTTAATAGAAAAAGAGCATTAAAGATCGCCCTCAAGACCCATCCTTTATGTCCGTTATGTCCGAGGATGATATGTCTTCTAGGTCTGATAAGTTTAGCGTGGGTTTGCCAAACACCTCAAACCTGGTCCTGCCCCCAGCGGGGCAGGTACACATAACGTGCTTCATTGTTTCGTCATCTTCCATACAGAGTCGGCATTCGGCGTCTTCCACCAGTCCCATCCTCTGTAGGTGTGATCTCAGCCGGCAGTGGCCCGTGTATACTGCAGTAAGCGTACGCGCTCCGTTCCTACCAGCCTTTAGGAGTTCATCTGTTCTACGTTTGGATGGCCCTGCTAGGATTGTTTTGGCATGTTCCATTCCGGGACTGTCATACCAGTCCCGAAGCGTTACACCCCTAACCCATTCACAGAGCCTATCTCTTGCGAGATTTTTTGGTACGCTAAGTGTCTGGTGATTTGGCGGGGGAATCAGCACGTTCATTTCCCTCTAGGCCGACATGTCCCGGTATCCATATTAGCGACACTTTGTTTCCATCTCCTAATATATTGAGTAGTTTCTTACAATGAAGAATCGTCCTGGACGTACTTTTCGTTGCCTCAAGTGCTTTCAACGCGGCTTGACTATCCGAAAATATGCTTATTGTTTTCCCGGTGTATTGCTGTTCTACCAGCAGTTGCACACAGGTTTCAATCGCATATAGCTCAGCTTGGAAAATAGTGGTGTGTTTTCCAAGACTGTGGTAGATCTCAGTCTTTGACTGCTGCAGTAAATCCTCCGCGCCAGATCCTTTATCGTTTTTGATCTGTCCGTGTACCAACACATTTCAGCAAATAATAAGCCGTTTCTCGGTTTATCCCATTCGTCCCTATTCGGAGACAGGACGCCGTAGGTGCGCGTCAAGAGTTGATTGGTGTGTGAGATCCGAGACCATTCCCAGAATCTCATCCGATTGTAGTTCGTCTACTAGTCGGTTTTGTATGAACATGATTGTTTCTTGGCTCTCTCGTGCCATATGTAGAAACCTATATGTAGCCCATCTCGCCTCCCTCTCCAAAATAATTTGAAGAGGAGGTAAGTCGAGTAGGGTTTCCATAGCTTTTGAAGGCGTAGAATGAAAGGCACCAGTCACTGCTAAGCATGCTTGTCGTTGTAATTTTGACAGTTTATTCTTTGCCGTTGTTTGGTTGGCTTTCTGCCACCAGGCAACTGCGCCATACGTGATAATATACAGGGTGTCCCAGAAATAAGTACAAATATTTTAAGGGGTGGTAGATCTCGATAAAAGAAACATATTTTCTCTTTATCGTTTTTCAAATAAGTCCAAAATAACGGAGTTATTTTACTTTGAAAATTTCCAAAAAAAATTATTTTTTGCTAAAATTTTGAGAACCACTGGATCTTTTCTGGATTTTCTTTCTTGTAAATTTAATCTAATACTTATGTTGCCATATAATCAAGAAATTATGTTTTTTAACTAAAAACTAAAAAAATTTCCAAAATTTTTTTCAAAAAATTTCGAATTTTCAAATTTTTTTTTTCGCGGAAAAAACCTCTTAGGCGTGTTTCTGGGGTTGAACTATACTACCAGTTAAAATATCTGCACTTATTTCTGGGACACCCTGTATATTAACTTTATATTCTATTAACTTTAATTGTCTTTTTTAAACATTGTGAGGGATCGTAAACTCTTATGTATAAAATATAATTAAAAACACCAATTTGTTCCACTAATTTCGATGTTCTGAAAAAAACTTAAAACTAAAAGTAATAAAAAATAGACAATGGACAATTTGAGAAACTGTCAATTCTTGAAAACCATTTGCCGAAGTGCAACACACAATTCCCAACAGAGAACATTTTCCTTTTCGGCGGGAAAAGCGACAGCTGTATAGGCTACGTCCTTTGGAAGATTGCGAACGTAAAATTTATGGGGCGCGAAAATCTGGAAACGGCATAACATTATGGAAATGCTCTCTGAACGTCATCTGGTGCAATCGGCCAAAGCGTTTCAGTTCATTCGATGCCTGTGGCCAATTCGGTTGCAATGGCGTACCAAATTTCGGTTGTAACACAAAGACGTAGTCACGGTTTCTACTTTTGCAATATTTATAAAAAAGTCACTTCTGCATAATACCATGGCAAAAGTGTAAAATCTATTGACATACACTGCTCATTCACGCCGTTTCGAGGTCGGATGAGATCGGACATCTCGTGAGTAAGAGTCGATTTAGACACTTGCCAAGTTGGTAGGACATTGACCATGATATGGCCGAGGACAGCGGTTCGAATTCCGCGTAAACAAAGTTGGCCCCGTCCAGATTAGCCCTGGCAGCAAAAAGAAGACGTTAACTTCAAATCTTTACTTTACTTTTCTGCATAATATAAGATATTATGAGGCACATATTACTTGTAAAATTGTGTTCACAGAATGCTAATAAATAATAATTACCTCTTGAGTTCTTGTTTGGAAGTTGGATCCCCTGAGCCTCGTAGAATGCTGGCAGACCATAATCCGTGACTTTGAGCACCCATCGGGCATCAATTACGCAATTTCTGGAGGTCAGATAGCCGTGTACTCTAATTTGGGTTGAGTGGAGATACTTCATGCCCTATAACAATTTAGTCTATTGTAACTGACCTATTTGTAATGATAATGAATTGCTTTTAAATGAACTTAAATTTGACATTAAATTAGTAAAAAACATCTATACCTATGTGGCGTATTCATCTCTCCAAAAAATCCTATATGAGTATTTCGCCACTGCAAGAAAATCTACAAAATAAAATAGTTATTTTTTGTAAACACTTCTGCGTTAATCCCAAATGGGAGCTACTTGTCAGAAGTTAGGTTTACAAATATACAAATTTGCCTAACGAACAAAAAAATGCTAAACTTTTCGGAAAGTTTATCTCTTTCCGTCGTCGGAAGCAAAAAAAATATAAAGAATAAAGAAAAAAAAACTATTTAAAATATTTAAATTCAACTATTCGAGAACACTTTACTTTTTTTAGAGACAGGGCACAGAATAAATTTTAATAACCCCAAAATTATAATGAAAGAAGCGATAGCCTCTAAAAGTAAAATAAAAGAGGCTTTTTTTAATACAATCCAGTAAAAATAAATGCATTGCTCATGCATCTGTAGATGTTAGTAATATATGGCAATCGCTTCTTTGATTAAAGAGCATAACATAAATATACATAACATACGTAAAAATTAAAAATAATCATACAGAAAGTTTAGGGCTTTTTGGTTTTACCTTATTAAGTAATTGTTATCAGGTAGTAATTGTTAATTTTGAAGTTTAACTTGATAAAATGTCATTTTAACACAACGTCAACGGTTTTGTAGACGTATCTGTTTTAAAAAACTAAAGTGTTCTCGAATAGTTGAATTTAAATATTTTAAATAGTTTTTTTTCTTTATTCTTTGTATTTTTTCCTTCCGACGACGGAAAGAGATAAACTTTCCGAAATGTTTAGCATTTTTTTGTTCGTTAGGCAAATTTGTATATCTCTAAACCTAACTTCTGACAAGTAGTTTCCGTTTGGGATTATCGCAGAAGTGTTTACAAAAAATAAATAATTATTTTATTTTGCAGATTTTCTTGCAGTGGCAAAATACTCATATAGAATTTTCTGGAGATATTAAATTAGTAATTTCATTCAACAAAAATATACAGATTAATTTAAAAAAAATAAAATTTCCTGAATTTATTATTTCAGTAAAATAACTATATACTCAACGTGTTTATTTTTTGTCAATAACATGTATTGACTATTTCCATTCTAAATATCTAGAGGACGGTTCCTCGTAGCGATTTTTACCAAGAGACATTTTTACGTAAAGTCACAAAAGTGAATATTTTTTCACTCAGTAGTTTTATAGTACGGACAAAAAGTTATTACTCTTCACAACAGTTACTAAAACACACACACTCTTACAGATAGGAGTCATATTGATATCAAAATCAAATTTCTCATGTCAAAAAAATCCCCGACACCAATTTTCATCCAAATATTGACGTTACTTCAGAAATTATTTGAAAAAAATTGAAATAAAAATAAAATTTCTACGCCCTGTATTGTACAGGAAATTCTAGAGAGAAGCAAGACCTATAACATAGGATACAACATTTTAATAAACAGTTCTTTCCATGAAATCAATAAAATGAAAAATATAAGAAATAACAACCATGAACTGATTTCTTTCGAAAATCGACAACTATGAAACTATGATCCCTTCCCCGACACGAATGGTACAATGTGAGTCAGAAAATTGTAGAGAGAAGCAAGACCTATAACATAGGATACAACATTTTAATGAACAGTTCTTTCCATAAAATCAATAAAATGAAAAATATACGAAATAATATACCAGTACTGATTTCTTTCGAAAATCAACAACTGTGAAACTATGAACCCTTCCCGGACACAAACGCATTGTGAAACAGAAAATTGTAGAGAGAAACAAGCCCTATAACGTAGGATACAACATTTTATTGAACTTTTCTTTCCATAAAATCAAAAAAATGAAAAATATACGAAATAATATACCAGTACTGATTTCTTTCGAAAATCGACAACTATGAAACTATGATCCCTTCCCCGACACGAACGGTACAATCTGAGTCAGAAAATTGTAGAGAGAAACAAGCCATTGTAGAGAGAAACAAGCATAGGATATAATCCGTTCTTTCCATAAAATCAACAAAATGAAAAATATACGAAATAATATACCAGTACTGATTTCTTTCGAAAATCGACAACTATGAAACTATGATCCCTTCCCCGACACGAACGGTACAATCTGAGTCAGAAAATTGTAGAGAGAAACAAGCCCTATAACATAGGATACAACATTTTAATGAACAGTTCTTTCCATAAAATCAATAAAATGAAAAATATACGAAATAATAACCAGTACTGATTTCTTTCGAAAATCGACAACTATGAAACTATGATCCCTTCCCGGACACAAACGGTACATTGTGAAACAGAATATTGTAGAGAGAAATAAGCCCTATAACATAGGATACAACATTTTAATGAACAGTTCTTTCCATAAAATCAATAAAATGAAAAATATACGAAATAATATACCAGTACTGATTTCTTTCGAAAATCGACAACTATGAAACTATGATCCCTTCCCCGACACGAACGGTACAATGTGAGTCAGGAAATTGTAGAGAGAAGCAAGACCTATAACATAGGATACAACATTTTAATGAACAGTTCTTTCCATAAAATCAATAAAATGAAAAATTTTACTTATTTTTATCTGCAGAATATGCTGTCGAAGTTTGTGGAATACAGTTCGGACCACCCTGTATATACGCACTAGAAACATCGATAATTTAGTACACCAATTTTTCTGCTCGTCTTTAATATCTATTAATTTAATATACGTCTTCTCTCGATCATATCGAACGTTATTATAAAACGACAACAAAGCTGGGCCACGTATAAAATTCCTTGTGAAAAATGTCACAGAGCGCCAGTGGCAGCAGGAGGAAGATGACAGGGAATATTTTGTTTTCAACAAAAGCAAATGGAGAACCTTCAGATTATATAGAATGAAAAATGTTTTGTGAAGGAAAAGAGATTTTATAAAATACGATGGAAATGATAGAGAGTTCAAACTGTTGCATCGCTTGGCATGACTGAAATATCAAATAAAGCTTTCCAGAAAGCTAAGGTCAGATTTATGTTTTGTATAAATAATATTAAGTCAGTTTCTAATGGAAATATGATGCTGATATTAATATGAAACAGAAAATGTAATAAAAGTTAGAGTTTAATGTTAATTAAGTAATGGAAAGCTTCATTCAGAACCTCGCAATTAGTGGAAGGATATTGTCCCTATAATGTCAATGTAAGCAATCAAAATATCAAAGTTAGTGGTAGTAATCTTTAATTAGTAGAAAAAGTTAACAAACTGCCACTAATTATACTTCAAAATTTGCGGGTAATGTCATTTTGCCCTTTGATTATTATCCGTCAAAAGAAATTAGGGTTAAAAATGGTTAAAAATCAAAAGTTTATTGTAAGCTAATTATTAAGCGCATTCTAGTGGCCGGCCGTAGCTCCAGCGTTAGTGTGTCGATCTGCGGAGCGGAAGGTACTGGGTTGGATCGCCAGCCAATACGGTCGCTTTATTTATTTAAATAAAAATATTTATTTATCTAAATAGAGCGACCAACGAGCGGCCACCTCAAGAAAGGCAATGGCAAACCACCTCGAGTATATTTGCCTTGTACAGCCTCTCAACTAGTGCCATTCGGATTCGGCGATAAATTGTAGGTCCCGTGTACCGGGTGTCCAACTAAGAATAGCTCTCGGCTGTATCTCGGAAAGTATTAGCCGTAGGGCTTAAGGAAAAAAATATTTGTAACTAAAGGGGCTATGAGAAATTGCTGGAAATTATTTTCAAGTTTGTAGAACGACCGCTAGAGGGCCGCAACTGCAACAAAAAATAAGAAAACGGAGTTTTTACACAATTTTGCCTAGATAAGGTGTACTATATGTAAAAGCTCCATAATGTTCAGTAAATTTTGAATATTTTTTGTTTGGCCCATTTTCCTCTATCTACCAAAATAAAGTGGTGGGGGAAGGTTAGATCTGTTAGGCTCGTTTAAAAGAGCCTTTCTTACTCTATATTATACCATATAAACAATAATAATAAGCTTTTGAACATAGACGCTAGGGGGTGTTGTCTTAAATTTAACTAACATTGCGGTTTTTTTCAAAAAAATTAAATGCAATAGTATATGTAATTTTAGCTGATCGGAAAGAATAGAAAAAGCTTAAAAAGTCAGCAAAAATCGCATCTTGATATCTTCTTTCAAACCGAAGATATTAGCAGAATTATAATAAATACAAAAAAAATAAGCCCTTAATTACCTTATTTTTACAATACAGTATCAGTAGCCCTCTTGATTAGGTCCATTCTAACAAAAAATTAAGATAGAAACAGTTAGTTTATTTTAAAATTGACGAAATACCAGAATACCATAATACCAGATGTATTAATATCTAATATACTCTGTTTTTTTTTCTCAGGTAAGATTTCGACAGACGATGACAGAAGAAAAGCAGATGACGTCCCATACCAATCTACCGTATGATCGAGAAAAAACGGCGTCAAAGACGGCTGGGGAATGACTATCGATGCTATTTTTGTCGAGATAGAACTCTAGACGTCAGTTACTGAGAACTGACATAAAATTTGTCAAAAATTAATACCTTATATAGAAAAACCAGAAAAGAATAGAAAGTTTCCAGATACACATATCTATTTCCAAAAAATTGTTTTTTCAAATGTTTCAATCTGCACCAGTTCTACTCAATAAAAAATCGATATTAAATCATCCTTAATGCAGTAAACGCCTTTAAAAATAAAGAAGAGCAAGACCAGTAAGACTCTAACCTAACTAAACCTCGTCGTCCGACAAGCCTCCGACGTGCCTCCGACCGAGACATTTGACAACATTTTTGATTATTGTATTGTTAAAATGTACGGATTAGCCTTTTATTATTGTTTCATACACACTAGACCGTTCAGATTTACTAATATTGCATTGATTATAGCTGTAAATAAAAATGT